AGGATCTCTGAGGTCACTTACAAATGAAGCTTGCTCATTGCTAGCTTGCTGTCCTCTACCTGCTAAGGGTAGACAGGAAGTCAGATGAATAACACAGGGAGGTAGGTACCTGCAACCTCCAGCCTTTGGAAATCCAAGAGAGTCCATCAGTTGTGTACAGTGTTGTGGTGTCTTTAGTGGTGACTGAGCCTGTGTGGCCAAGTGCTGAAGCTTTGACAGCCCTGGGGAGACAGAGCAGGGGTGATCTGCTATTTCCTATTGTCTGTACCTCACTTCCTGCATCCTGTACACATCTCCTTCCCTTTCTTCCTCAGTACCACACCCTATCAGGGGATCTCAGAGCAAGCGTGCTGGAGCCCCATAAGTTCAGGGTCATGTGCACCATATTCCTGAGGCTCTTCTGTAGTGTTCTGGTAGTGTCGTTAGTGGTTACGAGTTGTGCTGCTAACCTCAAGGTCAGCAGTGTGGAACTACCAGCCTTTCTGCGGGGGAAAGATGAGGCTTTCTGTTTCCATAAAGATTTATATCCTCAGAAAGCCTATGCAGGGTCGCTGTGAGTTAGAACCAACTCCGTGGCACATGTCATCATCATCATACTCAGGGTGAGGAAGAGCTAAGGCATCAGTAAGATTCTTTGTCTATCTTTGAGACTTTCTCTTCATGTGCTTTAATTGCCTGTATGTCTTGACTTTTCCCCTAGTTGCATTGAGGTGTCTGCCCCAACCCCCCTTCTACTTGGCTCTCCTTAGGAAAAAACAACACATTGTTAACTGATTGTGGCATTCTATGTACTTTTTTTTTAAGGAATCCCTTCATATCTGCCCTTGGCTGGGGCCCTGCTTGTCCATTAGGGTTGCTTGTTGTTGTTGTTAAGTGCTGTTGAGTCAGTTCTGACTCTTAAGTGACCCTGTATAGAGTTGCCGAGGAATGGCTAGTGCATTTAAACTGCCAACTTTGTGGTTCAAACCGACCGTGTGGTCCAGTGCTTATCCTACAGCACCACACCAGTGGTTCTCAGGGTTGTTTGGATTACTACAATTCCCATTTATGGAGAACGGGTTGATTCCTACCCCTTTTGTCCCTGGAGGATACTTTGCATTTTAGTAATTCTTGAACAGTAAATTAATAGGTAAGGGGGAGAAAGAGTGTGAGTGTGGCAGCATTTGAGACCCCAGTGTAAGTGGGTATCACTAAGTGAGGAGTGACACCTAGCTTCTCAGCTAAGAACACCTGAGAGCCTGGCATTTACCAGGCAAAAAAAAAAGGCCAGTTCTATAAAGTAAATACAACCTGCAGATGTCAGCTCAGAGCAGAGTGAGGGCTAGTTTTAATGAGGTTCTTTGTTAAATCCAGATACTAGAAATAGTACATTCTCACTCTGGTTTTTGTACTGTGGTTGTTGTTACTGTTGTTCAGTGCTGTTGAATGACTCTGACTCATAGAGGCCCTATGCACAACAGAACAAAACACTGCCCAGTCCTCCGCCATCCTTAAAATTGTTACGTTTGAGCCCATTGCTGTTGCCACTGTGCCAATCCATCTCTTTTTCACTGACCTCCACTTTTCCAAGCATGATATCCTTCTTCAGGGACCGGTCCCTACTGATACCATATCTGAAGTGAGGAGGAATACATAATAAAATATTTTAGAGAGTTAAGATTTATATGCCTCCATTTGACCATCCCTAGAAGCCATGATGGCAAGAGTTTTTCTCACATTCTTTGGACATGTCAGAAGAGACCAGTCTCTGGACAAGGACATCATACTTTGTGAAGTGGAGGGTCAGTGAAAAAGACGAAGACCCCCTAACAAGATGGACTGACACAGTGGCAGCAACCGTGGGCTCAGACATAACCATATTGTGAGGATGGCACAGGTCCAGGCAGTGTTCCGTTTTGTTGTTCACAGGGTCACTATGAGTCAGAACTGACTAGATGGCACTTACCAACAACAATAATAACATCATCATCTAACCATCCATGTAGTACTAGGAGCAATGTTTGTGTTTAAAACATGATGTGGTAAAAAGTAATCACTGGCCATGTGAGTTTGGGCAAAGCTACATACTATCTCTAAATCTGTAAAATAGGTTTTGTTGTGTTAAGTGTCATCGAGTCGGTTCTGGCTCATAGCGACCCTGTGCAGGGTTTCTGAGGAGCACCTGGTGAGTTTGAACTGCTGACTGTGCAGTTCAAACTGACCTTGCAGTTCAGCACATTAACCAGCAGCGCCATTGTTGTTAAGTGCCATGGAGTCAGTCCCGACTCACCATTACCCTGCATAGCGTTTTCAAGGTTGCCACATTTTCAATAACCATATGCATGCGAAAGCTGGACAATGAATAAGGAAGACCGTAGAAGAATTGATGCATTTGAGTTATGGTGTTGGAAGAGAATATTGAAAGTACCATGGGCTACCAAAAGAACCAACAGATCTGTGTTGGAAGAAGTGCAGCCAAAGTGTTCCTTGGAGGCCAGCATGGCCAAACTTCATCTCTTATACTTCAGACATATTGCCAGGAGGGATCAGTCGCTGGAGAAGGTTATCATGTTTGGTAACATGGAGGGTCAGAGAGAGAGGAAGACCCCCAGCGAGATGAATTGATAATGGGCTCAAGCATGGCAACAATAGTGAGGTTGGCCCCAGGATCTGGCAGTGTTTCGTTCTGCTGTGCATAAGGTTGCTATGGGTTGGTACCGACTCAATGGCACCTAACAACAACAACAACAACACATCTTTACGGGAGCAGAAACCCTCATCTTTCTCCCACAGAATGGGAGTTTCAAACAGATAACAGCCTGACTTGTAATCACTATGCTACCTTGGGGCCACGAATGTCCCCAGTGATGTGTGTAAATTATGGCTTTCTCACCCTATAATACCTCTCTAGCTTGGACAGCTTTTGGTGCATTTTTAAGATGCGCTGGACTGTAAAGTCTGTTTGAACCACAAGGTCGGCTGTTCAAGCTTACTAATTTCTTCTTGGAAACCCTATACGGGGTTGCTTTGGGTTAGAATTGACTTGATAGTACTTAACAGCAACAACTACTACAGGATGAGATCCAGACTGCTTCATAGCATGAGAGGTCCTCTGTGACCTGGCCCCTATGTACTGTTTATAGTCATATCTCTCCCAGTAACAAGGCTGCCTGGTTTATACTCCTCTGGTGGTGCTGTGGGGTAACCATTTAACTGCTAACCACAAGGTCAGTGGTTCAAACTCACCAACTGCTTCTTTAGGGAAAGAAGAGGCTATATCTTCCCCTGTAAGGATTTGCAGTCTTGGAAACCATATATATATATAGTGTTGCTATGAGTCGGAATTGACTCAAATGGCAGGGGTTAGGTATGGTTTGGCATTTATTAGTCTCTCAACTCCTACCCCTCATCCTCCAGTGCCTTTGTGGCGCTGTGGGGTAATGCACTGAATAGTAAGGTCATGTGAATTGCAAGATTGGTGGTTCAAATTCACCAGCTGCTCCTCAGAAACCCTGCACAGGGTTGCTATGAGTCGGAACCGACTCAATGGCACTTAACAACACAATATTACCTGTTTTACAGATTACACTCTCCAGTGCCTTTGCTCGTGGTCTTCAACTTTCTAAAAAGCTTAAAGGACTTGCAGGTTTCATATGGTTATAAAATCCTATGTTTTAATTCTTAAGTGTCACAGATTTGGTTCTGACTCATAGTGACCCTGTATAGGGTTTCTGAGGTGCAGTTGGTGAGTTTGGACCTCTGACCTTGTCGTTCAAACCAACCTTGAGGTCCAGTGTTTATCCTGTAGAGCCCCACCAGGACCTGTGTCATACTTCATCAATACTTGGCTGTTCTTAAGTGCCTTTATCAGAGGGCAGAGACACTTTTGCTTGCCCTCAGAAATACCACTCCTTTGGTATTATTTATTCAGCAAACCTTAAGTTGGTGCTTAAGGTTCCTTTCATTCTTAATAGAAGGTAAACAGCAGTAAAAAGATTTCCTGTTTATTCTCTGTCTTCTGAAACTTGTATGTATTTTCAAAAATGTGTTGTCAGCATTGTAGCAAGGGGCTACTTCATTGAAATTTACCTGAATCTGTTGTATTGCTAAGATAATGGTCAGATGACCTACAGTGATGCTAAGACCCTTAAAGATTGTTGGTGAATATGAATTCTAATTGGAGGAAAGATTAGATGATCATAATGAGGTAAATAATTGTGGTGGTTATCTATTTAAATCTGTTTTTTTGTCTATTTAAATCTTAATAATTATTTTATTCTGTCATCTGTCTACATCCACAAAGTAGTCCTGGTGTGGCGCTGTGGGCTAATGCATCAGACTGCAAAGTTGGTGGTTCAAGCTCACCAGCGGCTCCTTGGAAACCCTATTACAGGGTCACTATGGGTCAGAATTGACTTGACGACACTTAACAACAACAACATCCACAAATGGGGGGAACCCTATGAATCACAAAACCAAAAAAGCATTAAATGTATATGTTAAAAAGTTTTTAATACATTTTCAATTCTCACTATTGCATTTAGTCTTGTCTAAAACAATAATGTAAATTAGTTTCAAATTCTTTGTTACAATTTTTGGACACCACGAATCACAAAACCAAAAAAAGCATTAAATGCATGTGTTAAAATTTTTTTTAAATACATTTTAAATTCTATCTATTGCATTTAGTCTTGTCTAAGATGACAGTGTAAATTAGTTTCAAATTCTTTGTTATTTTTGGACAGCATGTTAAGAAATAGGAGGATATAGTTGAAGATGTCTGCCATTTTTTGAAAATGGATTATTAATGTTTGTCATAACACTTTATGAAATGCTATCTTTTAATCTATTAGAAATGATAGATGTGAAGAGTTTCCTTTTTTATTATAGAAGAAACAAGTACACTGGTCAAGGGATGCATGTGGCTTTCAAGAGATTCTGGATTTTAGAATATATAATTTAGTGTGGATAATACAATGAAACATTTATTATTGAATAAGAACATTATCTCTTTTAAGGTTATGAGAAGACTGATGATGTTTCAGAAAAGACATCACTAGCCGACCAGGAGGAAGTGAGGACTATATTCATCAACCAACCACAGCTGACAAAATTCTGCAATAACCATGTCAGGTAAGAACTACCAAAGTTACTCTGGGACCAGCATCACACCAGAATCCAATAGGCCATCTCCCCTGTACTAATGAAATGAAAATGCTTGCTAAAATTAAACCAGTTGTTATTAGGGGACTCAGTGGTGTCAGTGTGAGTAGATTGTTTTCCCCTCCTACTTTCTGTCCAATAAAGGAGATGTTACTAAGAAATCTGGAAGCAGGAAAGACCTGAAAAAAGACTCTGCCAATTCTATGCGTATTATCTTAACAATGAAAGCTGCTTCTGGGTCTAAATGATTTTGTCTTAATCCTGTTACTAGCATGATATATTATTGTTTTTTGCTTAAAAGGACTTAATGTCTTAGGAGAGATCTTGACTGTTTCATGGAGAACTCCTTTTGATTAAATAGTCTTTAAATTGCAGCTTTTGGTAGTTGTGAAATTTATTATGAAGATTGGAGGTCTGTGGGGATGAGTGCTGTGTTAGGCTTTCATTTCCACAGTAGTACAGACAAAGTTAGTGTAAACACCAGCCACTCATTGCTGCCATGTGAGCCATATCATCAAGTGTACAGTCTAGTGCCAGCATAGTTTTTCTCCAATGGCAGAATTCCCAGATTTGAGAAATGACAATTTACAATTGATACTTACAGCTTCAAATTCTATCATGCCTTTTCTCATTTTGAGGAGTACCATATTTGTCTCCTTTAATCTCCCTTCTTTTTGATAAACAATAGGAAGATCTGGACGTTTCCAAGACCCAAGAGGTGATGTCTCATGGTTTTGGATGTATCTGTTATGTTTAGTGTAGAGTCCTAGCCAAGTCCTAAAGAGTCCATGAAGAGAATGCAGGCAGAACCCCAGAAAATTTTCTTTAACATTATCCTGGAAAGGCCATCCATATTTATAATCTCCTGGGTCTATTCAAACTTTTTTTTTTCTTTCCAAGATTTAATTTTATATGCTATCTTAACTAAAGTTGTTCTTCTCTTCAGAGTTGGCCTAAAAGGACAAAAGATTTTATTCAGAAAATAAAATGTGGTGAATTTATTCTTAACTGTTTATCAATTTCACTATTTTTCATTTAGGTTGTTGACCCTTTGGAATATTCTTCCAATTCGAAATGCATCGCCTAACTTTTTCATATAGCGAGAACAGAACTTTGTAAATGTGGGTATGCTGATGGTGGCATTGTTAAATTTTATGTTACTTTTCGCTTTTCTTTTCCAGCACTGCAAAGTACAACATTATCACATTTCTTCCACGGTTTCTCTACTCTCAGTTCAGAAGAGCTGCTAATTCCTTTTTTCTCTTTATTGCACTGCTTCAGGTAAAGTCATGTTGTGAAAACTTTAGTTCAAAGACATGTGTTCAGGTATTAATAACTATTTCTGTTAAGCCCTTGGCCAGTTCTCTGAAGATGATTTAATACAGAGAGATAACTTGGTGCTGGCCATTTCTGGCTCCTGCTCCAAGCAGTGTCAGTACTGCCTGGTTCATTGCATTGGATTATTTTTTCCTGTGAATTTCATGTAGCAAGTGCTGATCATTTTTTTGTGGTAGATGGGGATGGGGCTTTTTCTTAAAATGTTAATTAAAAAATAATGGTGAAAGTGTCAGATCTAAACCTTGGATGTATAAGAATCAAGTTTAAATCTTGTGTTTTTCTTTGCCTGTGAGTTAGTGGTAATCAGAAAAAATGCCGTATTTTATTAAAAAGTAGGTCCTTAGGTGGGCAGAAACATTTTGCTCTTGGCTACTAACCGAAGGGCTGGCAGTTTGAACCCGTCATATAGCGTCATGGAATAAAGGTCTGAGGTGTGCTTATATTCACTGTATGAAGAATTAGAGCATACAACAAAGTGTAAAGAAAAAATTAAATATTCTGACTCATAGAGATCCTGTATAGGGTTTCCAAAGAATGACTGGTGAGTTTGAACTACCAGTTTTGTGATTAGCAGCCCAGCGCTTATCCAGCATCACCACGCCAGGACTCCCCAGTTACAATTTGGGTGTATATAATTTAGGTGTTTTTTTTTTGTTTTTTTTTTATTCTTTTAATCGTTTATCCAGATTCCTGATATGGTGCTATAAGATAAGCACTTGACCCTAAAGTTGGTTTAAATTGCAAGGTCAGTAGTCAAACTCACCATCCTCTCCTTGGCAACCCTATACAGGGTCGTTAGGAGTTAGAAGTTGAAACTAACTTGACAGTACATAACAACAACAATCATTTATCTTGGTAGCATAGTGGATTAGGAGCTGGCTGCTAACCACAAGGTCACTAGTTCAAATCTACTAGTCACTCTGCAGGAGAAAGATGAAATGTTCTGCTCTGTAAAGATTTATAGCTTTGGAAACCCTATACAGGGTTGCTCTGAGTCGGGTACACAGTACCACCACCAATCATTAATCACTACTTATTTAGTCCTGGTGGGTCAGTGGATTAAGTGTTGGACTGCTAACCTCAAGGTTACCAGCCACTCCACTAGAGAAAGATGAGGCTGTCTGCTCCCATTAAGATTTGTCATCCTGGAAACTCTACAGAGCAGTTCTCTCTCTTACAGTGTAGAAATAAACCTGATGGCAGCGGGCTTGGTTTTTGGTTTAAGCATTGTTGATTGATTTCCTTTATGCAGATAGGATATAGTGTATTTGTTTTATAGTCTGCTTTATTCATGTAGTAATACTTGGATATTTTCCAGTGTTACTCATTGTTTTTCTAAAATATAACTGATAACGATTATGGTGTTTTGGTATATGGACATACTATATTTATCCAGTCTCCTGTTTTAGGTGTAAGTCCTAAACACCAGTGCTTATTGTGAAGCTAATTAACATTCACGTCTAGCTGCTTCTTAGATAATAGCAAATTGCCTCATCCAGTATCAATTGGCTGAGAAGTAAAATCAATTAGGTATATTCTAAGAGGCGTTAAGACTTTACTGTTTTTAAGTCTATTGTAAACATTATAATTCTCACTGGATTTCTCTTTTTTTCCTTTCCATCCAATAGCAAATACCTGATGTGTCCCCAACAGGTCGCTATACAACACTGGTTCCTCTCTTATTTATTTTAGTTGTGGCAGCTATCAAAGAGATAATAGAAGATATTGTAAGTACTTAATTTTTTGTTAAACAAATATGGCTCTGTTATCTTTTTATACATTTATTTTAAACTATTTGTATTTTAAGTTATTTAATTCTTGGCATAACCTGTTTTAAAATGCTCATTCAACATACCAGTGTATCCCCTATCCCTGGAGTTGGGTCCTGCCTGGTTTCTATAGAATTAATAATATTGGCAAAGCTCTTGTTACAATATTCCTTTGTTTTTGTAGGGTAGTAATGAAAGAACTTAATTAGAATGCAGTAATTGGCTGGAAGAGAAAACTTCTTCATTTGAATATTATTTTCAATTAAGTTGAACAAAGTAGATGTTACGGTATCTAAATATAAAGGCTCTTTAAAAATGCCTTCAGTTTTACTTTATTAAATTCTGTTGGTTCCTTTTCACTTTATTTTAGTAGTTCTTGCTTTCATTTTCTCTTTATTTGCTTAAAACAGTAACAGCAAATTTGCTATTTTTGTCATTCTGTGGTAGTAGAAAAAAGAAGTCTAGAGCATAGTTTTTTTTTTTAACTTGGAATTGAGTGAAGACTTACAGAGGAGATCATCAGTTTTGCGTTCAACAAATCATATACTTGGCGGCATTATAATGAATGCAGTCCCCTCCATCAGTTAGCAGTTTATTCCCTACAATATGGTTGACAGCATTTTCCATATTTACTACATCAGTTATCAGTTTGTTCCCTATAATACAGTTGATAATATTTACCGTATTTACTGTAAGTTTTGCATTTCTCCCATGCTACCTTCATCTTTTCCTCTGCCAATCTCCCTCTTGTATGTTACATGTCTTGTCGCCCATATTTACATATGATGGTCCTCTTGTTGTTGTTAGGTGCCATCGAGTAGGTACCAACTCATAGTGACCCTGTGCACAACAGAACGAAACACTGCCTGTTCCTGAGCCAACCTCACAATTGTTCCCACATTAGAGCCCACTGATGCTGACACTATGCCAATCCATCTCACTGGGGATCTTCTTTTTTTCTGACCCTCCATTTTATCAAACATGATATCCTTCTCCAGTGATTGGTCCCTCCTGACAATATGTCTGAAGTATGAGAGACGAAGTTTGTCCATCCTGGCCTCCAAGGAGCACTCTGGTTGTACTTCCAATACAGATCCATTTCATTTTATCTAATTTTCCTAGATCCATACTTTGTACATTCCATGTTCCGATTATTAATGGATATTTACAGCTGCTTTTCATCATTTTGAGTTGTGCCCCATCAGCAAATGAAGGTTCCGCAGGCTTTACTCCCACGGGCTTTACTCCATTTGCGTCATCACGGCCAACTCTTCTTTGAGGAGGCAGCTCTTTTCCCCAGTCGTACTTTGAGTGCCTTCTAACCTGAAGGGCTCATTTTTCCAGGACTATATCTGACAGTGTTTCTCTGCTATTTATAAAGTTTTCAGTGACTAAATATTTGGAAGTAGTTCATCACTCATTCTTTCTAGTCTGTCTTCATCTGGAAGCTCATCTGAAACCTGTCCACCATGGGTGACCCTGCTGGTATTTAAAATACCAGTAGCATAGCTTCCAGAATCCCAGCAACTCACAAGCCACCACGGTATGACAAACTGACAGATGAGTGGTAGTAATGGCCCTCTAGCTCATGAATAATATTCCTTCCCCTCTCGCTGACCCCCTCTAACAATCACAGAATGTTTATTTTATAAAAAATGAGACTTTTCGTAACTTTTTACAGCAGAGGACGTATATAGTATTTGTCCTTTTGTAATTGATGAATTTCACTCAGCATAATGTCCTTCAAGTTCATCCATGTTGAGAGATGGTTTACAGATTTTTTTTCCCCCACTATTTTAACCTATTTTTAACTGTGTTACTTGAGGAAGACAGTACATTTTTTCCTATGTTCTGTAAATACTTCTTTGCCTGTCTGGGATGATTTGTCAAGCCTCAGGAAGACTGTCAGAAATGCAGAAGGGTTAGGAAAGGAGGAAGGAAGACAGGAACAGTGCATAGAAATGGAATAAGTGATGTTACTTTGAGGGGATTGCAATCAATGAGATGAAACAGCATGTGTATGAATTATTGAATGTATAACTGAGTATCTTCTCTGTAAACCGTCACCCAATTCATAATAAAAAGTTTTTTAAAATGTCAGATGATAAGGTGATAAAAGGCTGAGATACAGTGTTAAGGATACTTCAGTTTAAAGCAAGGTTGGCTGTTCAAACTTAGCAACTGCTCCTAGGATCACTATGAGTCAAAACCAACTCGATGGCATTTACCAACAGTATTGTTTTTGTAGAGACTCAAATTGAGGTCTCATTAAAAAAAACAGGAACAATAGCATCATTTGACCCTTTAAAAATGGGTCAAATGTTGTAATCATTGCAATGAAACGATGAGTGTAATACCCCAGTGTTCTCCCATAACTATCACTCAATTCAAAATAAGAACTTAAAAAAAAAAAAGGATCAGCAGAACATTTAGATCACTATCCTCAAAAGCATCAACATGTCTAAGTAAATGCAGATGTTGCCTATATAAAACATCTTATTTCTCTTGATTAGAAGTGATACTTGATAAGGATCCTGAGCTTAAAAGTGTTAAGTTTTCTCTTCTCACCCCTATTGCTCTACACAGACTTTACCTTGTTTCATATTATGCTTGGGTTTGGAGAGCCACAGGAATTGGTGTTGATTACATCTTTGTCGCTACCATTTGTACTCCTATTTTTTTTGTTTTGTTTAACCTATTTAGAGAGCCTGTTATTTGCCAGGCATTGTGTTACTTGGTGTTTTGTTTTGTTTGTTTGTTTTAATTATTGTGGTAAAATATGCATGACATGAAGGGTGCTGTCCTTATTAGCCATTTTTAGGTCTACAATTCAGAAGCACTCATTACGTCTACAGTATTTTACAACCATCACTACCTATTTCCAAAACTTTTTCATTACCTGAAACAGAAACTCTATAACTATTATGAAATAGCTCCCTATTCTCCCCTCTTTTCAGTTTCTGGTAATCTCTAATCTACTTTCTATCACTAAAAATTCATCTATTCTAGAGTCCTGGTGTGGCGCAGTAGGATAAATCATTGGACCACAGGATAGATTGGCACTGCAAGGTGGCAGTTCAAACTCAACCAGCTGCTCCTTGGAAACCCTATACAGGGTCGCTATGTGTCTCCACTATATTGCATATAGTGGAACCATACAATATTTGGTCTTTTGTTTCTGGCTTATTTCACTTTTCTGCTTTCAAAATGCATCCATGATTTAGCTTGCATTGATGTACACACATAGGTTTGAGTCCTGATTTTAATTCTTTGAATATATATACCTAGGGGTGGACTGTCTGGGCTCAAACATGACAACAATTATGAGGATGGCACAGGACTGGGCAATGTTTTGTTCTGTTGTGCATAGGGTCGCTGTGAGTCAGAACAAATGCTAGTTCTATGTTTTAAGTTTCTGAGGAGGCACCAAATTGTTTTCCACAGCAGTTGTACCATTTTACATTCCTACCCGCCATTCATAAGGATGCCAGTTTTTTCCACAATCTTACTAGATTATGCTATTATCTGCCTTTTTGATTACAGTCATCCTGTTGTTAAAGTGCTGTTGAGTTGGTTACAATTCACAGCGACCCTGTATAGGGTGTCTGAAGAGCAGTTAGTTTGAACCATCGATCAGTTCAGTGCTTATCCTACAGCACCACATCAGGACTAGTGGATACAAAAAGACTTCTGGTGGCACAGTGGGCTGAGTGTTGGGCAGTTAATTGAAAGGTCAGTGGTTTGAACCCACTAACTGCTCCACAGGAGAAAGACCAGGCAGAAAGTCTGCTTTACAGAAAGTCTGCTCCTGTGAAGATTTACAGCCTCAGAAACTTTATGGATCAGTTCTACTTTGTCCTGTAGAGTTGCTGACTTGGAATGGAGTGGAAGGCAGTGAGTGGGCTTCGTGTGGGTGTGAAGTGGACTCTCACTGTGGTTTTGATTCGCCTTTCTCCGAGGACTAACGATTCAACATCTTTCCATGTGTTTATTGGCCATTTTTATATATATTTTTAGACAAATGTCTATTCAGGGTCTTTTCCCAGTTTTTAAATTGGGTACTTTATCATCTTCTTGTTGAGGCAGAGGAGTTCTTTGTACATTTTTGATATTACAGCTTATACATACGATTTGAAAATATTTTCTTTTATTCTGTAGTTTGACGTTTTACTTTGTAAAATACATCGAAGCGCAAAAGTTTTCAATTTTGATGAAGTCCAATTTATAGTTTTTCTTTTGTTGCTCATGCATTTTGGTGTCATAGCTAAGAATTCAATGCCAAGTACAAGGTCATGAAAATTGACTTCTATTTTTCATTCCAAGAATTTTACAAGCTTTTATATTTAGATATTGGATTCCTGGTACGGCATTGTAAGATCAGTACTGGTCTATGAACCACAAGGTCGGCAATTCAAACCCACCATTTTTAGGCTAGCTCTTTTTCACTTAACAATATGCATTTAAGACTTTTCCATGTCTTTCTGTAACAATAGCTCATTTCTGTCTATGGCTAAATTAATACTCCATTATATGGATGTACCATAGTTTATTCACTTATTGAAGGACATTTTGGTGGCTTCCAGTGTTTTTTATATGTGAATAAAACTACTGTATGCGTTTGTATGCAGGCTTTTATGTGGACATAAATTTTCAGCAGGGAAATGAATACCTAAGAGCACAATTGTCGGCTTGTATGCAAGACTTCATATGTTGTTGTTAAGTCCCTTCGAGTTAGTTCTGACTCATCACTACCTTGCATAGTGTTTTCAAGGAGTGTCTGGTGGGTTTGAACTGCTGATCTTGAGATTAACAATCCAGTGTGTATCCAACAGAACTACACTAGGACCCCCAGCGCTCTTACCCCACTGTCTTATTATGATTCAATGCAATCATAAAATGTATTGAACTTTTGGGTGCCTTGTACTGCTCTACATGCCTTACACTTGTTTTAAATGTTA